CCTGCTGGGATTCTGCTCTCATCACTCCTGACTGCTTTTGTTAGGGTCAGTAGTGATTGCTATGTTTGTCAAATCAGGTGGTCCCTTTTCTTCATTTTATTTAACCTCTCAGCAGCATTCATCAGGGTTGAATCAAGATTTTAATCTCTCCCAGAGTAAATTTTACTTTTCTTCTTACTTCTTTTGCTCTTTCTCAGTCTCATTTGCTAATTCCTTCCCTGTTCAACCTTGAAATGCTAGAGCACCTTAGGGCTCTGTCTTGGATCCTCTTTAGGCCTCTATCCACACACTCTATTTATTCAAGCCCATGACATCAAATACCATCCATGTGACAGTGACACATTTCTGTAATTCTGGCCTAGACCTCTCCCCAGAGTAGCAGTCCAAATTTTACATGGCCAAGACAGAAAGCTTGCTTTTTTCCTCACCCACCAAAACCCAGTTATCCCATATCAATGAACAACACCATCCAGTTCCTCAAGTGAAAAAATGTATGTTACATGGCTTCTTCTTTCACCTCACCTACTATACCTACTCATTCCTGACTTTCTCCATAACATATGCTATATCCATCCAATTCCTACCACCTCTAGTACTCCCACCCTTGTCCAAATCATCATTACATCTTCCCTATGTTAGCAAAATAGCCCCTGAATTTGTCTTTCCACTTCTTCCCTAAAATCTGTTTTCCACACAGTAGACACAGTAATCTTTTTAAAGATATAAGTCAGTGTTTCTCAACCTGGGGAGATTTTGCCCCCAGGACAAGTGTCTGGAGACACTTTTGGCTATCACAACTGGGTGGGTGCTACTGACATCTAGTGAGTAGAGGCCAGGGATGCTGCAGACATCTTACAATGTATGGGACAGTCTCTCACAAAAAATTATCTGGCCCAAAATGCCATTAGTGCTAAGGTTAAGAAACTCTGATTTATATTATAACTCTGCAATGTTACGGGTGTGGATAAGAGAGGGGTGAAAAGAGCTGAATCTGAGCTCCCTTTTCAGGGCCACAGATCCACCTATTGGCATGGGAAATGCTCATGGGAAAAGGACGCCCTCCTCTACTTTAAATTTTTCAACGGCTTCTACTTTACGTAGATTAAAATACAAACTCCTTATCCTGGTTTACAAAAACCCACTATGATCTGGCCCCCTGCCTACTTCTCAGATCTTAATCTCTATCCCTAGCCCACTGTGCTCTAGCCATCAGATATTCCTTCAGTCTCTGAATTTGCCAGACTTATCTCAGGGCTCCTGCAGTAGTTGTTTCCAATGCCCTGAATACTCTTGCACCTGATCTTTGTGTGGCTAGCTTTTAATCATTCAGATTTCAGCTTAAGTGTCAGACCCTCAGATACCTTAGTTACCCAGTCACTCTCACATCACCCTGTTTTATTTCTCTGCAAAGCCCTTACCACCATTTCATCTACAAAGCGATAGTGTGGACTCCAAGAAAACAAAACTTTTTGTCTTGTTCACTGCTGTTTAGTTTGCCTTCAAACACAGTAGATGCTCAGTAGATGATACTGATTAAATGAATAACACGTTAAGTCTGAGATGCTTATCATACAGTCAAGTGAGGAGGAAGAACAGACAAATGGGTATACCACGATGGGGTTCTGAGAAAAGATCCAGGTTAGAAATAGGATTTGAAGATAATTTGGGAATTATAAACTATATTAAAAACCGTAGGTCTGGATGAGATCACCTAGGGCGAAAGCCCAGAGAGATTCTTTTGAGACCAACATACCAATTATTTACCTGGGCAACAGGTAAGGAGCTCGGAAAAGGGCCAGAACTGGGCCCCTTTCTGGGGCTCCAACCTCTCTCCTCAGGAAGTCCTCAGAGAGCAAAAAAGGCCCATGGTACAAGCTTATTCCTGGCACCGCCCATTCTCGGCGGGTCACGGCGCACAGGGCCCCCACGCACCTCTGGGGGATCCATCCTGGGGAGCGGCGACCCTCTTGGTGAGCGGCGTGCGCTTGGGTCCGCCCGTCTGGGTCTGCAGCCCGTATGAGAATTGCGGCGGATCGTTCCAGCCGCGCTCCTTGTTGCCTGCGAAGGTGAGAGGACGTGTGAAGCGAGCCCGGGGGCGACAGAGGGTCCGCACCCCGCGCGGTAACCGCCCCCAGCCTGGACCGGCGGTAGACCCACCGCCCCAGCCCACCCGCCGCGCTCACCCGGTTTCACGTACAGCCCCGCCATCTCCACTTCCGCACGGCCAGCGGGGCATCACGTCATTTCCGGGGCGGCCGCACCCAAGCCGGCTGGGGCACGCCCCCGGTAGGGCCCGTTGCCTGGAGCCCTCCAGGTTGGACAGTTCAGAAACGCCGGGAATCGCCATCGAGTCCTTGCTCCAACTCCCTAAGGAACTATAAATCTATTCCAGCTAATAACGCACGGGGCCCTAACTACATGGTACCAAGTGGGGCTGTTTTCCAGGAGGTGGCGCTCTAGGAACCCAAGTGGGTTCCCTCTCTCCAAGTCTCTCAGTTGCTCTCAGGAGCAAGTTTAAACCACCAGAAGCTCCTGCCCCACACATGCCCCCACTGTGATCTAGCCAGGTGGACTTCCAGAACCTCTGTCCACTTCCCTGAACGTTTACACTCTCTCGGCTGGAATGTATTTATCAGGAAGCCTAGCACACTTAAAGTACCTCAGACCAGGTACTTCAGGTGTCTCACCTGAGCTCCCACAACCTTTTGAGATTTCCTAGTTGTACTATATATTATCTTCAGTGCTGTTTATTTGACTCTTGTTTGACAGTCTCAGAAGGTGGAACTCCTATTTTATTATACCTCCAGTGCCGACCTTAGTGCCTAGTGTCTATATATTCATAAAAATATATTTCTTAAATGAAGTCAGTTTTCCAACACTCCCATGCCCTTATGTGACTACCTGCAGCCACCGACACCAAGCACAGATGCAGACACTCATCTCATACAGGTTGTTAACTCCCAGCCCAGTCCCAGGCCCAATATACTCACATCCAGTGAGGTCACTGAGGGATTTTTATTTGTACTGATTTTGCTATAAAGTGTTGCTGAGGTAGAGCCAACTGTCCAGGGCTGGACAGGGGCAAGGAACACAGGGACCCAGGGAGAGGAGAGCCCGGGGCCTAGGCTGTGGTACAGGACCTCTCAATCATCCACATAAACAATAAATTGGGCAATAAATAGAGGGTGGGCAAGGGTCAGTGGGGAAGGCAGAGAAGGCTCCAAGGAGCGAGAGGCTGCAGGTCCCTGGGGAATGAAGGGGTACAGAGTCGGGCATGGACCCAGAGCCTCCTTCCCCAGTCCTCCCCGATTAATTTAGGGCATGTGGAGCAGAGAGGGTTTCAGCCGGAAGGCATCAAGAAAAGAGAAGATGCCCCGCTTTCGGGGGGCTGCCCCTGCACCCCCAACCCCTCCTTTGAGCAGGGGGAGGGGCAGGGGACCTCCAGGGGAGTCCACAGAGCTGGTCCGCTTGAGCCGCAGGCGGGCACGGGCCTGGGCACCCCAGGCCTTGCCTCGAGCCGCAGAGGCCACAAGACACTTCTGGTACTGAACCTAGGGAGAAGGGGAATGTGAGGATCCACTTCCTTTCTGCCCCTGGACCCCCTGAAAGCTTCTGCAGGACAGGGACCCGGCGGCCAAGGCTTCAGTAGGAAATGAAGCTGGTAGTCTGCCACATTTGGAGCCCCTACAGCATTCACAGGTAGCTCAATAACAAAAGCCTAAAACTTCACATTCACTGAGCATTTAAGGAGAGCTTGACACTGTGTTAAGTTCTTTATATATATAATCTAATCGATCTAGTTATTTATCGGGTGTTATAATCACCATTTTGCAAATGAGGAAGTGAGATAGATTCAGAGAGAATACATGACTTGCCCAAGGTCACGTAATCAGAAATTGATAGAACTGGAATTCAAAACTAGTTCTGATTGCACGGCCTGTGCTCTTATCCATACCTACCACTATGCTAACTCTCCTCCATGTCTCATTGCAGTGGACTGGACCCTGGCAAAGTGGACTCCCTAGTCAAGCGGATGTTCTACAACCCAGTCCCAATGCAACTGCTCCCCTCCTCTCTCATTTGAACTCAACAGGGTTCTAAATGGTCTTCTTACTTCTCTTGTGTCTTCCAAATCTTCTACCCATACTATAGCTTCAGTGATCTTCAAAATCCACAAACTTGACTTCACTGTCCTGCTCAAAACCTTTCAATGGCTCAAAGTGCCTCAAGATAAAACAAATTCATCACCCTACCCTGTAAGTTCTTCCATGACCTGGATTCTGCCATTCTTTCTGCCCCTATCTCTCACTCCATCCCCCCCTGCACTACAGATACACTAGATTCTTTCACATACTCTAATCCACTGACATCCCTCTCACAGCTGGGGTTCCCTGTACTTGGCACGTGTCCTGTCCCATTCCCCTTCACCTGGATAACTTCCCTCCTTGGACCTTCAACTCTCAGTTTTCTATCACCTCTTTCAGGTAGCCTTCTTGAACCTCCGAAGGGGCCATATCCTCCATCATCCTGTGGTGTGCAACTTCTTTCTGGCCTGTCTCTGCTCTAACCTAAGTGTTCTGTGAGGGCAAAGGCTATGCCCTCTAAACCACTGAATTCCCAGGGTCAAGTATGGTTGAGTTCTGGCAAGCACTGGTATTTGAGTGAATAAGTGAACTGAACTGAGTGCAAGTGTCCCATACTCAAATGCCCACAGATAACCAGAAAACAATTTAAATGAGAGAAAAGAGGAAAGACAATGCTCACCCTTCAAGGCACAGCCCTTACACAATTCCAGCTAAATGCTGAAATGTATACGTGTGGACCCAAGTGTCAGAGCTTCTAATATTTTACAAAAAACACAAATGGAAATTATTATGTGAAATGTCCTGGCCTTTAAATATTGGCAACTAATTAAAGCCTATTAAAAACAGCATGAGGGTCAAATAAAATACTGCTGAACCAATTCCAGCTAAATGCTGAAATGTATACGTGTGGACCCAAGTGTCAGAGCTTCTAATATTTTACAAAAAACACAAATGGAAATTATTATGTGAAATGTCCTGGCCTTTAAATATTGGCAACTAATTAAAGCCTATTAAAAACAGCATGAGGGTCAAATAAAATTCTGCTGATCCACAGTCAGCCCTGGCATGGCTGGTTTGTGATCTCTGGAGAGGTTGCCGATCCTGAACCCCAGTCACCCGTACAGAGCAGCTGCAGGGCAATCCCACCCACACATTCCCACCCCTAACTCACCATGCAAGCAGCCTGCACAGCTTCAGAGAGTCCCCCTGCATGGGGCTGGCACCAGAAGGCCGCACACTGGAAGCTCTGACGGCCCAGGTCGGCAATGAGGCCAAAGGTGTGTGGGTCACGACCAACACCAATAAAGGTCACGAGGCGCACAGGGCACTGCCACAGTGGCTCCTCCTCTGCACCAGCCTCTGCCTGCCCAAATCAGGCCTAGTCACTAGAGGGCCAGGTACTAGCTGGACCCACTGAGCACTTTCAGTAGCAAGCAATAACCCCTTGGCATCCCCACCCACCCCTCCACACCCCCAACTTCACCTTCTTCTGGCTGGTACCTGAATGGGACGTGCAGTCATGAGAGAGTCAGATATGCTGAGCATGGCAGGGACCCAGGCGTCCCGGTCCCCATGGGTGGTGAGGGTACCAATGGCCTCGTTCATCACGTCCATGCCTGGGGGAGGACAAGCCCACCATGGTGTCTCCCAGGCATAAAGAAAGATCTGCAGGGAGTGTCTAGGCCCCTCTCACTGACTTAGGATTCAGAGAGATGGGAACAGAATAGCTGCAGCCAGGTTTAGACTCCTGAGTTGAGAAGGGTGGTACATCCCAGGCTATAGAGGGCCATGGGAGCACTCTTAGAAATGGTGGTAGATCCTTCCTTTCCCACCTTCCTCTTCTCTTATGCAGCCCGCCCCCTCCAGCCCACTCAGTCCTCACCCATGGCTTTGGTGACTGGCAGAGTCCCCATGTACAGTGCCTCGTACTTCTGAGCAGCCTGGCTCACCGCATCCAGTAGCTCCACTGAAATATATACACCAAGTTGGCCTGGGTACTCTCTCAGTGACCCCTTTCTCCATGCTTCTAAGGGAACTGGAACTAGCAGGAAAAAGGCCATGGATGTTCCTCCAATCTAGAGTTTGGGATCCCTGGGACAAGGACACCTCAGAAGTTCTCTGTCTCCAGAGAAGTACTAAATAACCAGAACCCCCTTCCCATCTTTCACCAAAGCAGCCTGTTGGTGCAGTGCAGCCATTCCCTCCCCATACCTTGTCGAGGCAGGTCTTCAGGGGAGATGGGGTCTAGCGAGCAGCAAGGGGAATCCCCACTGACCCCTACTCGCTCTGACAAGATCTGAAACACAGTGCAGCCAGCATGAGGTGTAGGGAGGGGGAAGTGAGGTAAGGGAGCCAATACCATCCTAACCCAACCACCTTAGCAGCTTCAGACCCAGCTCCATACCCACATTCCCTGCCCCACTCCTGGCCCTTACCTGGGCACAGAGCCCGTGTAGGGCACTGGCAATGGCCTTGGCAGGGACGTCACAGCGAAACACATGGCACTTGAGCATACAGCTGTCTTTGTCACCCGCCACAAAAGCGAAGTCCCTGGCAGGGTCAGAGATGGGGCTAGGGCAGGGCCAGGGATGGAGCTGGGGTAGAGGCTAGGTAGGGACAGGGGCCTGTAGTGCCTGCAGGAGGCTGGAAAGTCAGGGTTATGGCAGGGATGGAACAAGGAGATCAGGGCTGGGGCTCTAGGCACCTGGCTGTCACTCACCTGTCACTGTTCCAGAAGCATGTGGGAGCACAGGAGAGAATCAGCCCAGCCTCTCAGGCTCTCCCCCATCCGTCCCTGCTGAGCTGGGCCCACCCTCCCCAACCAGGGCTGGACCAGGCAGGGGAGGCAGAGCTTGGGTACATGTCAGAGGACCTGTGTCCAGGGGTTCAAGTACAGGGGGTCAGCATCAGCGGGGTTCACAGCTTGCCGGGGGGAGGGAGGAGCAACTCTCACTTCGAGGGATGTAGGGGTCCTCACCGGCCCTTGGAGCTGCCCACACCCCATACACGAATGTGCACCAGAGGCTGGCGGTGGATCAGACTGTGGTCCAGGGGATTCACCAGGCTCATCACATCCTTCTTCAGGATCATCAGCATGTTCTGGCCCTGCCAAGGAGAGGTCAGCCCGGAGCTCAGATGAAGGTGGTTGCCATGAGGAACAGGCAATTCAGGGACAACCACCTCTGCTGGATGCTGGGCTGAACCCCTTAAAGGGCCAGCCAGCTTACCTCGCCCCAGGTACCATCCGGGGGCTGGCTCTGGCTACGAGTCTGGGCCAGCTGCTGGATGCAGTTATTGACTGCAATACTGCTCTTCCCTGGTACCAGATCCTCTTCAGGTACTTCCACCCAGCCCAGAGAGCGGACTGCGAAGCACTGACGGGTTGAGGAAAAGGACGGGAGGACCCTGAGTAAGTAGAGGTGAAGTAGGGTGGGAGGTGCCACAGGCTCCACATATATAAACCCTCTGAGACCTCCCTTCAGCCTTGATTACCTCTGCTCAGCCCAGTCTCACCCCTGACCTTTCCCTTGGGACCCTCCCCAATGCCCTGGGCTGGCCCTCAGGCCCAAATCACTACCTTAGCCCCTGGCGTCATTCTCTGGATGTAGGATTCTTCACCATACCAGGACACAGAATTACTGGAATAGAGCAGAGCTCGTAAGAGGACCACAATTCCTACAGAAGGGACAATGGTGAGGACCAGACTACTCGATGGGCACAAGATGTGGGATAAGACCCAGAATATAGTGTCCCAAATATAAAGTCAGAGTGAGACAAGGCCCAGGACATATTACATAAATGTAACATAAAGCATGGCTTAGAATTTGAGAGAAAATTCAACACACAGGACACAGAATAAAACAAACATGGAACAGGGTCCAAAATCTGGACCAGAGCCCCAAATCAGGACAAGAAGACCCTGGAACACAGGATAGGAACCTCCGTGGACAGAACCTAGGGTAGTGACCAAGGCCTAGAACATGAGAGGTCAGGACCCAGAATACATAAAACAACATGTAGCAAAAAACAGCTTGGAACAAGGAACAAAACTCAAAACACTGGGAGAGTCAACAATATGGGATAGAGCCAAGAACACATAACAAAACCCTAAACATGGGACACAGTCCAGAACCTGTGCTGGAAAGCGGACTGTGGGTCCAGCGGCATCTTTGAGTGCCATGGAACCCCAAGCCTTTCATTTTTGCCTGGCCTATCCCTGTTACCTCCGGTCCAGTGAGCTCTCCAGGCTGGAGAAGGATCTCCCCTTGGGGGGCCGAAGTCCCCAAATTCCCTCCGTCTTCTGTAGAGAGGGGGCTAGGTCAGTGTGGCAGCAGGCTTAGATCCACACATGAGCTCAGGCCCCCTCTTCACACGCCACCTACCGTGCCTGGGTCCTCTGCATCTCCTGACTCCCAGGTTGGGCGCTGCCACTGGGTGCTACCGCTGGGTACATGCCAATAATAAGTACCTGCAGCATCGCGGATCTTCCTCCAGCCAGGGGGCAAACCTGGCTCCCCCTCCAGACTCTGGTCCCCCCACAAGTCATCTACAGGAACGTGGGATTGGAGAAGGAAGGCATATATGTGCGCTCAGAATAACACTTTGTCATAACCCTTCCTCCAACCCAAAAGGCACAACTTAGCGCTGAAGGTTCAGCCTGAGGGTCCAGGCTTCCAACCTTGGATACTGCAGTGCAAGGATCGGGGTTCATTTGATCCCTGGTCCTCACTCCGAGACGCACGCCCCTCCCTGTCTTTGAGGCTGGGGTAGCCTTTCGCGCTCCCTCGTCCCCCCTCAGCTCCCGATCCTCCCATCGGGACCCTCTGTGCACACCATCGCAGTTGACCAGAATGATGGCCAGCATGTAATCCTTGCCCAGCATAGCCCTGGTCGCGTCCCCAGCTCGCCTCCGGAGCTGCTGCGCCTACAAGTCCAGCCTCTGCGCTGGAATCGGCCTGGCCAGCTGGCGCCGCACAAACACGGGGCGGGGCAGGGGCCGGGTCCTGGGGGCGGGAAAGGACCCGCCTGAGCAGCGCCTCCTGTCGAAAGGTGGCGCGTGAAAACAGCCGTCCTGATCCCCCAGTTGCCGCGCGTTGGCGTGCGAAGGTCTGGAGGAGGAGCAAGGTCCGCGGCGCGCACGCTGACATCATAGCTCAATTGTGAGCTCATCAAGCGGCGGAAGATCCGCCAGGCGAACTTGCGCGGAGCGCACACGCGCACGAGATCATGGCGTTTAGGTAGTCTACGCGCGCGCACACGCAGCCTGGGTCTCAAAGGGAGAGGTCACGTGGGAGTATCTGCGAAAAGAAGACCTTCAGGAAAGCGCCTCCACCCGTTCCAGAAATGCCCCGGAAGTGCCTGCGCCCTCAGTAAAGATGGCAGTAGCATTTGCCAGGAGGGAGGCGGTGCTGCGCCTGCGCAACAAGCTCGGCAGGGAAGATGGCGGATGACAAGGTGAGCGAACTGGAGGGTTGTCTGCAGTCCGGTGTGGGCTTCACACCTTTTTAGTCCTGGGGAGAGGCGACAGATGGGGGAGCTCCTGGGTGGGGGGTGCCCCTTGTTTCTCCTGGGAGCGGACTTTTAGTCTTGTCGACTGCTTCAATAATGGGAAGTGGAGTGGCGGAGCATTGCGCAAGGCAAGCGGAGCCGGGAATCCCCCAGGTGTCACCCCACCCCCCAACCCCGGACCATGATGATCCTTAGTTACTTGCAGACAGTCCTCACTCTTCTCTATTCCCTAGCCACCGAAATTTCCCTTCCAGAGACAGGAAGTTTCCAACAACACAGACACACCCGCATTCGAACACATTCCTTGGGGACACTAATTTCGTCGTTATGTGCGACCAAAATCCAGAATTCATTTACCCACACTCTTGCAGACAGCCACGTTCCCTCACCCCGCACCAAACCCCAGCTCATCCAGTCACACATTCAGTTTGGGATGGGTTTGGGGAGGAAGAGGGAGAAGCCTAGGCAGAAATCAGGTTTACCCCCAAATTTTCCAAGGAACTGCCTCACCGTTAGTCTGGAAGTTCAGCACCAACTACACATTTACTAAGTACTTGGAGTCCCTGTGTTAGGCCTCGGGACACAGACGACAAGATAGACTTTCAGGTAGCTTCCTACTCACTAGCGCTTGCCGGATAAACCTAGATCCCCTAGCTGCCCCTCTTGTCTTTTCTGTGCACCACTTACTGTATAAAATCCCTGTAAGAGTTGCTGTAAGTTACCGATGCAGGTCCCATCGGTCACCCCCTCCCAGGCCCCCGTGTGAATTCTTTACTTTTCAATGCCTTTCTTTCTTTACCACTGTCATCTCAGGAAGGTTTTATAGGAAGGGGTTTCTTAGGCTCATTACCTCCTGCCCCTAGCCTCTGATAGACTTGAGCAGGGCCTGGGGCTGGGTCAACCTTCTGGAGCCAACCTCTCTTTTGTCCTAGGATTCTCTTCCCAAGCTTAAGGACCTGGCATTTCTCAAGAACCAGCTGGAGCGCCTGCAGCAGCGTGTGGAAGACGAAGTCAGCAGTGGTGTAGACCAGGTAAAGGTGCACCTGCCCCCTGCCTCCCGCTTAGGCTTCATTGGCCAATATGCTTTTGAGTGGGTGGTAGAGATTTATTCAGCAAATGCTTGGTTATTGAAGGCCTATTCTCTGTGACACCAAGGAAAGTTTCCCTGAGAAAATGGCCTTTGAACTGGGATCTTAAGTAGGGGTTAACTGGGTGAAGAGGGGAGGAGGGAACATTCCAGGCAGATGGAACAGCATAGGCAAAGCCCTTGTGGTCAGAGGTAGCATAATGAACATGCGAGGTGAAAGCAGTTCAGTTTGGCTGCAGTAGTCGGGGAGCATGCTAGGATATGAGACTGGAGAAGCAAGCAGGGGTCAGATTCCTCAGGGACATCTCTCTCAGTGGGATTCTGTGGTTGGAGCCTTCTAACCTCAGGGTTCTGACATTGTGTGATCATGACTCCTAGGTTCTTTTTCTGCCCAGGACCTTGAAAAAATCTTTGGTGAGCATACTACGGTTTTCCAGAGTAAGGAGGAGCAGGTAGTGGAACATGCTAAGCCCAGCTTGAGTAGCTCCTGGGCAGAGAAGGGGAGAGCCTGGCTGAATTTTCTCCTGCATTTTCCTCCACAGGATGGCTCGCTCTTGTCCTCTCCATTCCTCAAGGGCTTCCTGGCTGGCTATGTGGTGGCCAAACTGAGGGCGTCAGCAGTATTAGGCTTTGCCGTGGGCACCTGCACTGGCATATATGCAGCTCAGGCGTATGCTGTGCCCAATGTGGAGAAGACATTGAGGGACTATCTTCAATCACTGCGCAAGGGGCCCAACTAGCTCTGGATCCCATGGGGGAGGCAGGATGAGCAGCTGGGGCCTGCAGGTGGAGGCCTTTCAACCACAGATGCCATGTCTGGCCTCCCCGGCTCTCACCCATTTGCTGTCTCCAGCTTTCCTGCCGCCTTCCTGCAGAGGCTGGACAGTGGTTCATCAGCCAGCACCCTGGACTCCTCACCTCCATAACCCCATGGCATTGGCCCCAAGACAGTGGCTTCTAGAACCACCAGCCCCTTCCTCTTCTAGCCCTTACTGTGGAGTTTGCAGCTGACTCTGATTCTCAGTATTCTGTCTGGCGATGTACCAAGGCTCCTCTCCCCTGGGAGCCAGCTCCATAACTTGATTTTCCCCGAACGTGTCACAATCCCCACTGACCCCCCTTGCCAGCTACACAGGCCACCCAGGGTCTAGTTTGGGCATGAGTGTAGAGGACGGGGGTGTGCCGGGCCTGGGCCATCCCAGGCAGGCCCGCTGGACCCTGATGCTACTCCTGTCCACTGCCATGTACGGTGCCCATGCCCCATTGCTGGCACTGTGCCACGTGGATGGCCGTGTGCCCTTCCGGCCGTCTTCGGCTGTATTGCTGACTGAACTGACCAAGCTGCTGCTGTGCGCCTTCTCCCTCCTGGTGGGCTGGCAAGCATGGCCCCAGCAGACCCCACCCTGGCGCCAGGCCGCCCCGTTCGCACTATCAGCCCTGCTTTACGGCGCCAGCAACAACCTGGTTATCTACCTTCAACGTTACATGGACCCCAGCACCTACCAGGTGCTGAGCAATCTCAAGATTGGAAGCACAGCCCTGTTCTACTGCCTCTGCCTCCGACACCGCCTCTCTGTGCGCCAGGGCTTAGCACTGCTACTGCTCATGGCAGCAGGAGCCTGCTATGCAGCTGGCGGCCTGCAGGACCCTGGGAACACCCTTCCTGGGCCCCCTTCCGCAGCTGCCGCAGGCCCCATGCCCCTGCATATCAGTCCACTGGGACTGCTGCTTCTCATCCTGTACTGCCTCATCTCAGGCTTGTCTTCCGTGTACACAGAGCTGCTCATGAAGCGACAGCGGCTGCCCCTGGCACTTCAGAACCTCTTCCTCTACACTTTCGGTGTGCTCCTGAACCTGGGTCTGCATGCAGGTGGCGGCCCCGGCCCAGGCCTCCTGGAGGGTTTCTCAGGATGGGCAGCACTCGTAGTGCTGAGCCAGGCGCTAAACGGGCTGCTCATGTCAGCTGTCATGAAGCACGGCAGCAGCATCACACGCCTCTTCGTTGTGTCCTGCTCACTAGTGGTCAACGCTGTGCTCTCAGCAGCCCTGCTGCAGCTTCAGCTCACAGCTGCCTTCTTCCTGGCCACGCTGCTCATTGGCCTGGCTGTGCGCCTGTACTATGGCAGTCGCTAGCCCCTCACCACCTCCACCCTGATTCCTGACCTGTAGATCGGGCGCCACCATCAGAGCCACCTCCCAGTGCTGACCCCTCCCCTCAGCAGCCCTGTAACAAGTGCCTTGCGAGAAAAGCTGGGAAAGTGCGAGCAGTCATGTCAGTCTCTGGAGGTAGGTGGATGGAGGGTTGAGCCTGGGAGACTTGAAGCCTGGGTTTGGTTAAGGAAACTCTTACACCCCCAGAAGTTCTTACTGACTAAGGAATTAGGGGAGCATTAGTTCATGGGCCTGAGAAATGATACCGTGCCTGATGGGAGGAGGTGCCCTGCCTCAACCTGCATGAATGCAGTTTCTTAAAGTGGGTTGTGGGCAGCAGTTGGCTTTCCTTGCCTACTGTGGTCACCCCAGCAGACCCACTGCCCCCAGGCCTGGTGCTGGCTGCTCCAGCCCAGCCATGGTGCATGACTCCCCCATAACATACTCACCCCCCACTGTCATGTAGGAAAGCCCAGTTGCTGCAGATTATACGCCCATCACCCAGGCCTCTGCCATGCTCCCCTAGCTGCAGCAGCACCTGGAAATAATGCCCCCGCTCTCTCCTTATCCAGTGTTTGTTCTGGAAACCTCAGAGAGGACTGGGGCTTGACTCATCTCAGGGAATGTTGCCCCTGGGCCCTGGCTTAAGCCTACACTCCTGACCTCTCTGCTCACCCTAAGGGCTCTCTCAAAGCCCACTGCCCCCTCTATAGCTTCTAGGAGGTACCATCTTTCCCACTGTGGGTCCTGCCCTTTCCTAGCAGTGTCCCGGCTCCCAACAGCCTAGGGAAACTCTACACAGAGTGACCTGGGACCAGCCACAGGGAAACGTGTATAGCTCAATCAGTGTCTGTATAAGCAATAAGGTCTTAATAAAGTGCTCTGGGGTATAGGTGGTTCCTACAATTGGCCATAATTGTCCTGTGTCTTCTGTGTTGCATAGCTCCTCTCAAACATAATTTCATTCCTCTGGTGCCCTGAGTATCTTAATCCTGGGGTGACTTATTGACTAAGAGAAGAGGCTGTTTTCTCCCAGCTGTTGCTAACAGCATTGTTTCCTTTGAGAATTCCATGGAGCTGAGACCATTTTCTGTCATGGAGCTTTGGAAATTTCTCTGAAGCATAAAACTTGGGCCCTGGAGAATTTGGAAGGAGTCTTGGGAATAGAAAGTGTTGGGCCCAGCAAGGCAAACTGTAGACTGTAGGCTAGAGAACTCTTAGGACTCAAGGTGGTCTCGTTTCTCATCGCCTCTGGATCCCTCACTGATATTCCTGCCTCTCGTCTCTTCTCATGACCAGAGGAATGTCAGGCCCTGTTCCCGTGGTAGAATGCCTGGTAAGCTTGTGGGGAAGAAAAAAGAGAAATCCCAGTCCTGCTCAAACAGAATCTTAGGGAGTGAGGTTTGGGAATCTTTTTTTTTCTTTATTCCTTTTTTTTTTTTTTTTTTTTTTTTTTTTTTTTAAGCTTTCCTAGGTGATTGTGATGCACACTGCAACCTGTGAACTAGTATTGCTGGCAGTGTAGAACTATAGCCAACCAGACTTGAGTTTTAATTCTGGCTCTGTCACCTATTGGCTGACTGTCCTTGAACAATTACTTAACCTCTCTTAGCTTTAGTTGGCTTCTCTCTGAAATGGCGGCGGGGGGGTCAGATGATACCTACTACTATAAAGGGGACTGGAAATGACTAAATCAAATAAGGGATGTTAGTGTGCTCAGCAGGTACTTGCACAATGAGACCTAGTTAGTGGTGTTATTAATTATCCATAATGAAGGTTAGCTTGGCTGTTTTGTTTTTTTTTTTTTTTTTTCTTTTCTTTTCAGTAAGCTTCCTAGGTGATTGTGATGCACACTGCAACCTGTGAACTAGTATTGCTGGCAGTGTAGAACTATAGCCAACCAGACTTGAGTTTTAATTCTGGCTCTGTCACCTATTGGCTGACTGTCCTTGAACAATTACTTAACCTCTCTTAGCTTTAGTTGGCTTCTCTCTGAAATGGCGGCGGGGGGGTCAGATGATACCTACTACTATAAAGGGGACTGGAAATGACTAAATCAAATAAGGGATGTTAGTGTGCTCAGCAGGTACTTGCACAATGAGACCTAGTTAGTGGTGTTATTAATTATCCATAATGAAGGTTAGCTTGGCTGTTTTGTCCCAACTCCTCTCCCTTCTAGGACCTTTACGAATGAGGAGAGAGGAGACTGCCCCGGAAGGATTCCTGAAGCCCACATTTCTCCTCAGGGCGGGGATCCAGCATGCCTGCGCCCAGCCTAGTCTGCTGAAGTCTCTGGCTCTGGGCTTGGAGCTCCTGGTTCTGCGTGGCCAGGTTGATGGTGTCTTGCAGGATGCCAGCCAGCAGGCTGCGATAGTGATGCTCTGTGGCCATGGCCTGTTCCTCCCACAGCCCCTGCCAGGCTCAGAATACCTGTGTGCAGATTCAGAGATCCCTATCAGTCAGCCAGCCTTGGAACCAATTCAAGGCCTGCCCTCTGTCCTCGCTGACCTGCAGCACGTGGCACGTCCAAGCCCGGGCAGCCTGCACGTGCAGGTCATAGAGGGCTGTCAGGTCCTGCTCTGCAGTGTCCCGTTCTGCCCGAAGGGCCTCCAGCTGGAGTCTCAGCCCTGTCCACTCCCGGTGCCATCTCTGCCTCTCCCCGGAAACCTTCAGTGATAATACATACCCTTTGTTGAGCGCAACCTGTGTGCCAGGCTCTGCTCTACTTACTTTATATTATTATTTCGTTTTATCTAATGATAACCTTTGAGGTAATTGCCATTTTACAGATTTGGAAACAGTGGGTCAGAGAAGTGACCTAACTTGACCAAATTCACATGGCTAGTGAGGGACAGAACTGAGATGACATGTGCATTTCAATAGTTCACTGTCATCCTTGGGGTAAAGTCCAAATCCAGAGGCGTGGCACATGCTGGTCTCTTTAGCCTTGACTCTGACCATGCACCTGCCAGGCTCCAGCCAGATGGACAGTTTGCAACACCCAGAACCTGCTTTGCCATTGCTTCCATTTGGACTTTTGCTCATACAGGATTCTCTCCTAAGAGCATGTCTCCCGCCTTCCCCTGATCCGACCTCTGTGCACACAAGTTTTGTTTCTTGTTTAAACAAGCTCTGTTTACTTAGTGCCTCCATGTGATGAGCACAAACTTCCCTGTGGATCTGAGTCTAGTGAATTTCTCTGGCTAATTTGTTTGTCCTTTAAGTCTCAGTTTAGATGTCATCTTCTCTGCTCCACTCCAGCCTGGGCCAGGTACACCTGTTTGTTCCCACAAGTCACTAGCTCCCTCATTTACAGCACTTAGCACTGAGAATCGCATCGTCTATCCCCCACAAAGCTGTGCGGGCCATGAGAGAGGTTGTGGTCCAGTCTGCTGTGATTGATGCTAGATCCCAGCACAGTACCTGGCCAGGTTAGAAGGAGCCTCAAGGGACTTCCCTGCTGGCCCAATGGTAAAGAATCCGCCTTGCAACGCAGGGGATGCAGGTTTGATCCCTGGTCTGGGAACTAAGATCCTACATGCTGCAGCACAATTAAGCCCATGTGCCACAACTACTGAGCTCGTGCGCCTCAACTAGAGAGCCCGCATGCCGCAAACTACAGAGCCCACGCACCCTGGAGCCCACACGCCACAAATAGAGAAGAGAAAAACTTGCACACCACAACTAGAGAGAAGCCCAAGTGCCACAACGAAAGATCCCACATGCCTCAACGAAGATCCCCTGTGCCACAACTAAGACCTGACTCAGCAAAAAAAAAAAAAAAAAAGTAGGAGCCTCAAGTCCCCTACTTGACCTTCCTCACCTCTTCAGCCACCAGGCCTTTGACCTGGTCGCCTGCCACCACGTCTTCCTCCTGTTCCAGATGCTTCAGTTCCTCTTGGATCCAAATTTGGTGCTGTTCTCGCAGTCTCCGCCTCTGGGCCTGAGCCAGGAAGAACTGCAGGGCCACATCCGGGGCCTGCTGGGCCTAGGTGGCATCATTCTAGGCTCAGCCAGAAGCCCATGTGTGTACACAGCCTTGGGACACAGGGTCCAACTTTTCCAACAGACCCCCATTACCAGGGCTGCTCCTAGAATTACATCCAGGGGACTAGCTGGCCTGAAAGAGCCTGTGGCCTGGACAGAGACTCAGAGGCCGTGAGGGAAGAGGAGAGGTATTGATTCTGCCAGTAGGTGCCATGGAGGCCCTAGGGACCCCATGCCCCTAAACCAACCCAGTAGGAAAACGGCCCCTTCCCGTGCCCCTCCCTGAGGGATACAGTAACCCTTCAGGCCCTTTATTTGCCAGAAGCTCCATATTTCTCCCTGATGTTAGGGCAAGGTAAGCAGGACACATATTATCAGGACTCTGCGACTCTACTCCCCAACAGCTTCCAGTTGTTCTGGGGTACATGAGGTGTTACCTGTTCCTCAGAGTCCCTGAGAGGGTGCATTTGGTGGAGATCAGGTCCTATAGATGCTGTTCTTCCTGCCACTGGAGGAAAATGCAGTTAAGCACACCAAAGGTGGAGAAGACCTCCAGCTCCACCCCAAGCACCAGCCTCACCATGAGGCTCTTCCTGGAGCCCTGGGCTGGGGCTTGCTGTTGAATCTGTGACCTGCTGAGAATATATTACGAATGAGAATTCTATTACCTTTTCTCCCAGGACAGTGTTGGTTTTGAAATCAGATCAGGGTCCCAGCCCCTCCTTTTCTTAGCTGTATGACCTCAGGCAGGTGGCTAGTCTTCTGAGTCTCCATTTTCTCATCCATAAAATAGAGCTGATAAAAGTTGTAGAGAGCATGAAATAAGATAAGGCACCCAAAGCACTTAGCAGTGGCCAGCCCTGTTCAGTAACTTGGAGTTTACAGGCCTAATTCCCAAGGCGCAAGGCTGTAAAAACAAGTTATAAGTAATTAAGAAAATGAAAGCACCAGGAGAAGCTGGACAGGGGCGACCTTCCAGCCACCCTGTGACAAATCATGGAAGACAGCGCCCCTTCTGCATAAGGGAGGACACGCATCCTAAGGGGATGAAAGAGTGCCGTACTGAGTCTAAGGACTTGGATGTCTTTGCACCTCTGCTGCCTTTGATTATCCTAGTGACCCTGGGATACTCACATCACTTCTCGGAGCTTCAGTTTGCTGAAGCAATGCTGGGAGCAATGTTGTCTTCCCT